TAATAAATCTTAAAATATTATATTTAGCATATAAATGCTTACCAAAAGTTTGGAACATTTATCAATAAAAAAATTTCTAATTCATTTGAAGAAGTAATAAAAATTAGAATACGATTCATAAAATATATTTTTAAAATATTAATTATGATATAAGATATTCAATCTATAGTGCACATTTATTTGAATAAGGTTGTGCTTAGCACTGTTGAGGCACAAAGGGAGTATATTAATGTCAATGCACACAAAATATATATTGGATGACGCTCACTTTGTATCATTAAGTAAAGAGCTCCAGCTATCATAATAATTGTCTGAATAAAATCCGTCCATATTACGGCCGTCAAGCCCCCTAGAAGATATAAGACTCATTTATTACACCTACCTAATATAGTAAATAGTGCAGATACACATAAGAGAACAACAACAGAAGTGTACAAATCGAGTTTTAAAGATTGATCAATGAATATTGCTCCGGCGTAGAGATCAGCCTAAAGATAGATAACTAAAGTCTCACTGATATTTTCGTAAAAACATATAGAATAAGAGCTAGACAAGCTAAATATATGCGTATCCTATGACCCCCAAATCGTTTCCTCAAATATTCAGGCATTGTAAAAACCTAAGTTTAAAAAAATAAAAATACCCCAGATGCTAAATAAACAGGTATAAATATCCATCCAAGAACAATAACTACAAAAATTGCCTATATACTAAATAATGTAGAGGAAATAATTCATACAGTTAATTCAAATATCGATACACCGATCCCCTTTGCAGCTCCTGAGCCAGCCAATCCAATGAAATGTCCAGAGCCAATATTGCTGGCAAATATGGAAGCACCAACCTACAATATCAGAAAATAGTAAGGCAACTACGGGAATCCAATGCATGGAGCGTCCAGCCAAAAAGTAGCCGCCAACACTTCCCCGATTTCGACATGAAGACTTAAATTATATTAAAAAATATACCCATAGTCCGACTCCAAGAATTGCTGCAAAATACAGTGCAACAACGACTATATCAGGTATTTCCAACTCCATAGCGTACTAACAGATTGCGTATTCAAAGAATGGACACAGTAAAATTAATAAGCGTTTAAAACTATTTCCCAAAATTTTTCATACAACTTTGAAAAACAATAAAATATATAATTGCTGGACTAAGATAGTTTTATTATAATATAGTTTTATTACTGCTTAAAATTATGATATTCTCACATACATTTCTTAATCGAAGTTCCTTTTTAGACCAATTCTAATTAATGCCATAGTTTTACTTTTATATCTAAAATATTTTGACCACTCTTTGTCCCTCCGTATATATATATATATATATATACATATATTGTATTCCGATTGAAGTGTCTGAATAAAAGAATTACTGATTTATTTGATCATGTATTTTGACGCTTTTTAACTGCATAGAAGTCTTTAAACATTGCGGAAAAGTAACCGCTTAGGAACTTGGAGAGCCTTTTTAAAAACTTTAAACGAAATCCCATAGCTAAGTCCCATGTTTG